GCTGTTTTATAACTGAAATATGAAAATAATTATTTAAATCAAATGTTCTGTGAAATCTTTTTTTCTGTTTTGTTTTCTTTGCTTTTCCTGATTGCCACACTGCGCCATTTTCAAAGCCACATGTTTTCAATTCAAAACGTCAAATCAACCCTCTATTGATTTTATTGCTTTTTTCTCTCTTCACTTTCTAAATACTCCAATCTTACCATCTATTTTTTCCTCTATGTTTGTTCATATATATCTATTTATCTCAGTTAATTCATATTTATCTGTTTGTTCCTATCTACCTATCTATCGCACTGTGTTCATATGTACCTATCTCTCTCTCTCTCTCTGTTCATATCTATCTATCTATCTATCTATCTATCTATCTATCTGTTTCAGTTTGTTCAGATCTATCTCAGCTTCGTCATATTCATCTATCTCTGTTCCTATCTATTTATCTCTCTACGTCTGTTCGTATTTATCTCTGCTCATTATCTATCTATCTATCTATCTACAAGCCCTTTCCTCTGTCTTATACTCTACTCTTTTGTATCACCAAACAACATTCTTCTACGCTTTTGCCCGGCCGTATATGACTAGCCGATATATTGGTATCGATTTGCTTTGTCGGTCTTCTTCGTTGTAAGGTTAATACTAACCAGCCATACAATTTGATTCACTTGCCTCTTTGTTTTCTCCCCATCTCTCTCTCTCTCTAACATATACACATATACCCTCATTCTCTTCTTTCCTCTTCATCTATTAGTGTCAGTCAAATAAAGCGTTTTTTTTTCATCTTGATATAGTTCACTTGTTTTAAAATGATTTTACTGTGTAATGAATAACATTTTCTTTGTTAGTTATATTGTTCATTAAAGTTTTACTTACCCCGCCTTACTTTTTACTATAATTTGTGATTTTCATTCATTTTTCTTTCTTTCTTTCGTTGTCATTCTTTCATTTTAAAGTTACGTTGCTGTTATTCCCTAAAGAATGAGAATGAAAGATAAAATATTTATTCGTTCTCTTTCTTCTTCCTTTTCAGACGCTTTAGTCGTCTGTCGTCTTCAATTTTCCTTTCTTCATTTTTATTTCATACTTTCCCCTTTTCCTTCTTTCTTTCTTTTTCATTCTCTCTTCTTTCCTCGTTTGTTCATTCTCTCTTTCTTCCCCGTTTTTTTCATTTTCCCATTTTTTCTTTTTTTTCGTTTCCCTTTACTTTCTCTCACACTTTTTTTCTCTTTTTCTTTCTTCTACTTCTTTATTCTCTCTCATTATTTCGTTCTCTCTTCCTGTCTTTTTTTCTTTACCTTTCTTCCTCTTTATTTCTTTTATTCTTTCTCTGTTCTTCCTGTTTCTAATAATTATTTCTTTCTTTGTCGTGCTTTCTCCTTTTCCTTGTTCTTTCTCTCTCTCTCTCTCTCTCTCATTCTTTCCTTCTCGTTTTCTCTGTTCTTCTTTCTTTCTCCATCTTTCTTTCTTTCCTCCGATAGCCCACATCAATCTCATGATCATTACTTCACTTTTTTTTGCAGTCAATAACTGCAAAAAGCTAGCGTGCACGACTAACGAAGATGACTGGCTTCATGAGTACATCTGTCTACTTGTGTGTTTACCTGTAAAGAAGAACATGTGTATTGCACGTGCCTCTAGATGTGTGTATGTATGTATGTATGTGTGTGTGTGTGTGTTCGAAGGAATGCATGATCGGAAGCGTGACTAGATTTATGCACGAGAGAGAGAAGGAAAGTGAGAGACGCACAAACGCATCTTTTTGGAGTTAGAGAAGTATAGATTCTTTGAAAAAATATCGACCATATGAATTTGTCACTACACCTTTTACACGCAATATTACAAGGATATTTTCTTGGTTGCGCGCATGCGTGCTCGTGTGTGTAAATAAATGGACAGAGATAGATATGTAGAAGAGACTGTGATTGATACATATAGCGAAATTGATAGAAGCAGATATGTAAAGACAGTCTGATTAAGTTGTTTTTTACGGCTTATCTACCTCTTATGGGTTATTCGTAGCCCACACATGTTTGGATTGTAACAAGTATTATTTATTTATTTATTTTGAGAGTGAATATTGTATTAACATATGTTTTTAGAGATTATAAATATTTTTTTCCATATACCAGTCTATTATTTAATCCATAATTGGTGGGAGGAGAGTGATTCATTCCTTTTCCAGGGGCATTTGTGTGTAAGTGAATGTAACTAACTTGACTGGATTCGAACTCGGCTCTCCGACTTCTCATTTCAAATCGCTGTCATTTACACCATCCGCACATCTCCTACAGTCAGACTTAGATAGATACTTAGAAAGATAGGTAAATACTAATATTGATAAATACAAAGATAGATACTTATATTGATAGAGAGAGAAACAGATAGACAGATACTTATATAGATAGATAGATACTTATACAAACAGATACTTATATAGATAGATAGATAGATAGATAGATACTTATATAGACAGATAAATACTTATATAGACAGATATTAACATAGGCAGACAGATATATATATAGATAGACAGATACTTATATAGATATATAGGTAGACACTTAGATATAGACAGATAGACAGAAACGTATATAAATAGATATATAGATAGACAGATAAGTATATAGATAGATATATAGACAGAAAGGCATATAGATAGATGGATGGCCATGGACAAACAGATTTAAAGATATTCTTGATATTATTTCTATATAGTTTGGTAATTATTACTCAGTTAAAGAGACGATCCTCAGCGTGTCCCCATATTAAGAAATGAAAATGCATTTGTGTTCATGGAGTGACAATTAAATATGTGTAAAGACACCCCATCTTGACAGTGTGTAAACGTTTTTGTCTAAGTCCGTCTTAATAACGGAAGAGTAAGCCGATAAACATGTACTGTTCAGATTATATTTCAAAGCATTTCTCTTCGTGCTTATCCTCTGCGTAAATACCTTCTATTTTTTTATTTCATAGCTTTCTTAGTTTACATTAAATGTTCACACAACGTATCTTGATAATACTTGGCACTCTTACATCAATGCGTTTACACACGCACTTACACACACACACATATATATATATATATATATATATATATATATATATATATATATATATATATATATATATTTGGCACGCACACAAGTTTGAGATTAATATTCTCGAGCACTGGCGGCGCTGTCGTCAATGCTACTTGCTTCAACACCCTCGCAACAAAAACAAAACCGTTACATTTTTTTCCGAATAAGACTCGCCATTCTCTTCCAGTTATAATTAATATTAATATTAATTAAAATTGTATCTAATAGATTAATTATGAGAATATTTTTCATCTAGTTATTTAAAATATGTACAAAGCAGAATTACCTACGTTAAATAATTTTTATTAATTTAAATCGTAATGTAGCGAGCTTTATTCAATAAGGTCCAGACCTACAATCGAGTCGCCTTCAAATATGTGCGTACTACAGTCCCCACTCATCAAGGAAATACTTTGGCTGCTACCAGGTGTGCGATGCGATTTAATGGAAAAGAAATATTGGTTATGTTCTGAATTCTTAATCTCAAATGTAAAGATAATAACATTTAGCCCCGTTTAAATAAGAAAAACGAAATAAATAAATGGGTTTTCGTTTTAAGGATACTCAATGGCGCGTGCACAGTTTCTAAACAATAGCTGCAAGAATCTTAAAATTTGCCAAAAAAAAAAAAAAACCCCACAAAAAACACAAAACAAAATGGAAAATGGCATTTCAATAAAAATTCTCAGCATTTATTCATTAATTAATAAATTTGTTTTTGAAAGGTGTATCTTTAGGAGAAAATTATAATGGAAATATATTTTTTCGGAAGCCCGCAGTTCTCCTATTTCTTTCAAAGAGAAATATTCTGTGTCTAGAGACGACACTGTTCTTGAATCATCTGCCCAAAATCGACATGCATTCCTCTACAGAAGAAAGAAAGAAAGAAAAAAGAGAGAAATTTTTACAGAATTGTGTACGATTCACCTGTTGCGTTTAGCTAGAAATGTGTAGGCTTTTTCAATTCTCCAACAGTCCCGGCATTCAATTGTTGCTTTTGAAGTGACTGTCAGTGTGTACGTGTGTCAGTTAGGAACAACTAAGCGCATATATAGGCAACACATACACACATAACGTGGTCGATATAACATGCGCATTTATTGCACAAAACAAAAGGATACGCTTAAAAACCGGAGACACTCACACACACACACACACACATATATATATATATATATATATATATATATATATATATATATATATATATATATATATATATATATATATATATATTATTATTATTATTATTAGTTGGTTCTGGTTTCTGTATTGACAGTTTTATAAAGCTATGTGCTCGCTTATGTAAAACAATGAATTGCTGTCAAAGATGTACGCACGAATATTTAAGTTAATGTGATTATATTTTTTGTCAAATGAAAAATAATCTACAAAGAAAGATGACAATACAAAAGGCAGCCTTGGCTGGGGTTTTGTATCTGTGAGTGTGCTTTAGAAACATGCCATATATATTTATGATATAAAAGTTAAAAACCGTTCATTGTGAAAGTTAATTTTCAAAATAGTATGATGAGCCAACCGAAGCAAATCAGAAAGCGTGATACATTTTAGTTTAGACATATTTGTTTGCCGCGTTTTCTTAATAACTTTTCAAAAATACTGATACACGAATACTATATATATATATATATATATATATATATATATATATATATATATATATATATTTCATGCACATAAATATACACGAATACTATATAATATATATATATATATATATATATATATTTCATGCACATAAATATACACGAATACTATATAAATATATATATATATATATATATATATATATATATTTCATGCACATAAATATACACGAATACTATATAAATATATATATATATATATTTCATGCACATAAATATACACGAATACTATATAAAATATATATATATATATATTTCATGCACATAAATATACACGAATACTATATAAAATATATATATATATTTCATGCACATAAATATACACGAATACTATATATATATATATATATATATATATATATATATATATATATATATGTATATATTTCATGCACATAAATATACACGAATACTATATATATATATATATATATATATATATATATATATATATATATATTTCATGCACATAAAAATGCAAAAATAAGTCTTATATATTTTTAAGGTGTGTTTTTTTTTCTTCTTTATTTTTTATTTATTTTTTTATCTTGATTTTTCAAACTTGATTCTTGAAAATCGTGTGAATAAGACGAAAACGTCAATTACAAATATCTATACGAATATATCTATATAAAATAAATTGGTTCTATCGACACAGAATATCCAAGACTTGCTTGAATCCATTTAACTAACATGTGCTGGGTGGAGGGCTAAATAAGATATTGTGTTTTAAAGAATTCTGATCTTATATATATACATATCAAATCCTCTTATAAAAATGAACATTTTCTTTCTTATATTTTCTAGATATGTTTTCCTACTTTTCGTATTCGTTAACATAACACTACGTTTTCTATGTATTTAAAAATGCTTAGCGTCTGCCAGTTTCTGCGGGAAAATAAAAATAAATAAATAAATAAAAGAAAGAAAGAAAGATGATGGGATAACTAACACTTCTTATAAAGTGTGCAATATAAGCGTATTGTTACAGAAAAAAAAGAAGCAATAACTTTTTTTTTTTTTTTTTAGATTCATTGTCGGGTTGGGAGAGAAATAGACACGTCGTTCGTTCGGTTCCGTTTATTTGCACGTGGTGATGCTGTGTGGACACAATGGCAGCTGTAAATTTTATGGCGAGGTTCGCTTAACTCGATATCAGTACGTGCATTCTGTGCAGTGTTTCTATGTGTGAAATAATCTCTTGAAATGTGTATGCTCAACAAGCGTTTGTTATGATTTTATATGACTGAAAACTACGTCATTGTTTGAGTCGTACACGTTAAATATTCTTGCTTCACACCTTTAACAAGCAGGTTTTTTGTGTGTGTGTTCACACAATATGAATTATCAATGAACTTATTCTCTTAAAACCTTAAAATCTACACACACACACACACACACTATATATATATATATATATATATATATATATATATATATATATATAAATATATAAATCTCTAAACCCTATTTGAGTGTTGACTTCAATGTTTACTTTAATGACCCAAACTAAATAAAAGCAAAGTTGTATCGTCAAAATCCTTATGTTATAATTACGAGGAAAGACCAAAGGATTTTTTGACTATTTTAAATGATATTTTTTTTTATCCTTTTTAGAACCTTCAAAATCAGGATTTTTTTTTTGTCTTGCGTCAGTGGCTGACCATAAATTACTAGAGGAAATTTTGGCGTCTTTTTGCGTTGAAAATCACATTGATTTGGAAATTATTGCAAAAATCAAATAATTGTCGGATTTTAATGAAACTTTCACGACTTA